TATAAAAAAAAAAAGTCAGGTTTGGTCACGTCTGAATCTTTTGTATGCTTAAATAAAAATAAGGAAATATATATATTTAGCTTAGTGGTTGGTCTGCACAAAACCTCAAATCATGTAAGGCTTGCTACCCTGCCCTATGCCTTTATGTTCCCAGTTAACAGTTAAAAAGTGTGAGACTGGGGATCATGAATGCATTATTTGCTTAGTGTTTTGCCAAAGGAGGCAGAGAGAGACAGACCAACATACCGATAGCACTGTCTTCTCATCAGCCATTGCTTTTACAAAAGCAAATGCTTCTGAGGTAGCAGACCTAATATTGTCGACTCTGCCCTCATCAAAACGGCGTATGGAAGCACTTTCATAGGTGGGGACAAGTCTCCTGTGGCATCTGAGAGAATGAAGAAAGAAAAACAAAGAGTAATTATTTTCAAGGAGTCATAAAGACTAAAAGAAATATAGCTTTGGTACATTTTATTGTACCAAGCCACAGTTTTATTCTTTGCATAGTATTCATCTTAATGTTGATAGAATTCTATAAGAAACTTAAAAAAGATGGATGCTCACTCCTTTCTAATATGAGGAGCTGCATACAGCTGTATACATTCTAGTTATGCAGTGCCAGTAAAAAATGACCTGCTGTGTAAAAACAAGGCTAGTACAACTAAAATTTATTGAAAGATCTCAAGGAATGTTTTATTTGTACTGCATCATAAAATAATAGTGTAATTAATCATTTACTTATGGGCTTGAAATATGTTTTATTTAAAACCAGAAAAAAAACCCCCACACTCTGTGTGTGAATGAAAAATAGAAAACTAGAAGGGTGTTATTTGAGACTGTGAGCTGGAATGAAAACCCACATAGCAAATAGAACAGAGAGTGAAGACTACTGTTTAGTTTGGGTCCAGGTATATAGCTACTATTCCTCACTTTGGGCGACCTATTGTACCTTCCAGTTGAAGCAGAGGTCTCAGAAACTAGGTTTTTCCCCTAAGGTTTTTGTTGCATATATGGGATTTATATCCTGGCTGGGGTCAGATGAAAACCTTGGACCAGGTCATTGTTGGAGTTTGGTTAACGGAATATGCAAAACAAATGTTTAACAGATGTTAATGGAGTACACAAAATGTGTTAGCCATCTCTGATTTTGAATAGGTAAAGACCAGCTCAGGATTTAATTTGACATGGTAAAGAATTATTCATGTAATAGGCTGTTCTGCATGAAAACATGCAACCGATTTCTAGCCTGGAGCGTTAGCTGTTCTGATGATGTAGAAAGGAGCTCTTAACTTTGCTAATACCTTGGAAATTAGAGGACGTTATAAAATTTTGGGATGCCTGTGAAGAAAGAAGCAGCAGTAATTACCATCCTGTGTAGGAACTCTGATCTGGTACGCTGCTGTAGTTATTTTCCCTGTGAATGCTTTTTGCCCTGCGGTGGCAAGGAGTGCATATGTGGTGAGCTATGGGTTGCTGCCACAGTTCCTCCCAAGTTATGTGAGAGAGAGTAGTAAGAGTGTGTTTATGCCCCAGGGACTTGGACTCCCTAGCTGCTTCTGCTGCTGTGGGTAGCAGGGTTGGCTGCTACTCCCTGCCACATCCTCTCGGTCTCTTCTCTATGCCAGCTGGAAATGGCATGTGTGGGACACAGGGATGGGAAAGTAGAGCAAAGGGAGGGAAAAGGAGTGGAGGAAAGGAGTGCTCTGTTTCAGAGCAATTTCTTTCTTGTCTGACCTACAGTCAACAAGCAAGATGACTCATTTCCATGCCGGAGGCATTTGTTTGGGTACTAAGGCAAAAATGGACCCTTTATATAAAAAAACAAACTGAATCTCCTCTTGTGTTGCCTTGTTCCAAAGATTTGTATTAACCTTACCTGTAAAATGCCAGCTGAAGTGCTACTTGAATGTAGGCATCTGGGCTAATCTTCTGTTTCTTAATAAATTCCTTTCCATAGTTCTCAAACTTGTAGGCAATGAAATCCAGATTATTGACTATCCTGGAAAACGAGCAGAGGTAATTACTGTGGGGGGAGCTGCAAAAATGTCTTGTTCTGTTTCCATTTGCAAGTAAAACCCAGAGATCATTTCCTGCCTGTGCCCACTGAGAGATGAGTGGGCTTCTGCTCTGCAGACAGCCCTGGCTGCTGGTAACTTGCTCCAAATCAGTAACTTTTATTCATACAGATTCTAGACTGGGCTTGTTATCTGCAGCCTTAACACGAACTGTGGCACTTGAGTCATTCTGTTCATCTGAGTAAAATACTCTTTTGTTGTCTTTCTTAAAAAAACCCTTAGTGTTTCTGCTCCTGAAGCCTAAATGATGGCCTCCTTTGTTCTTGACAAGTTTATGAGATTTACTAGTACGGGAAATGGGTGCATTTAAAACCTGATGAAGGCTGTAAGCTCCTTGCAAGTTTTAATTTAGAGGACTACTCCCTTTATTTAAAACCAAAAAGGAATTACTCTGCATCCTGAAAGTTTTCATACTCTCATGTGTGCTTCTAACTGCTTTGAGGTCTCATCTAACGCAGTCACACTGGACATACCTATAGCTGATCATGCAGACAGTATGTTAATTCTCTACAGAGAGATCACAGGCCTGAGTGTTGAGATGAAATAGATTTTTGGGGAAAAAAAAATCTCATTGCCATCCCCCACCCCCGAATATCATGCAAATATTTTACAGTCTGCAAACAGTCTTTGCACGAGTAACATAGATGTAAACAAATTATACTCCTGAATTCAAATTGCTTATTCAAACCAGTTCTTTTATGCTGTCCCATATACATATCCCCACTGCCCTGGCTTTGGCTTTTGTCAGGTCAAACCCATAAAGTGCATCCTCAAAAACAGAGGACCTCTGCACTGTTTGCATCCTGTGCAAATAGGACTCAAATGTTTTTCCAGTGGTCTTTCACATTCCTAATATTTACATGGAAAGAAAACAATGTAATGCAATTCCTGAATACACTGAAATAGCTCCAGCCCATAAGGTTGCCATCTTGCAAAGAGATGCTAGGTATGTCCAGCTTGGGAAGATGGCAAGGAGCGGGAGGGCAGGGAGAGCTCTCTAGGAGGAAACCCATGCCAGCACACAATATGCTGGGCAATTCCCAGCTTGCCGTCATTGCTGACAAAAACGAGGCATCTGTTCTACCTTTGGAGTTTTTCTGCTGCTGATGCCAAATGTGTCTGAATTTCAGGGGAACATTTCCATCTTAGTCTCCGTGGAGCAGGAAGCTCGGTCACTGAATCTGCCCGGACTAGTTTCTTGGAACTTTCTTTCCTGTTAGTATGTAAGAGAAAAGTGATTAAGGTCACAGGAATAATCTCTTTGTAAAACACTTTTTAGTTTTTTTAGCAAGCAAATGGCTGGTTTCCAGCACTTGTATGGGTCTTAGTGGCCCTGTACATCAGGGGGAATTTGCCACTGGCAGAAGCTTGCCGGGTGCTGGAGTGGGTACAATAGCTGTACTGAATGGGGACTCACATGTGCTTGAGCAAGTGTTCAGTGCACTGCACCAGTACGATGCCATCGAAAGGGGAATGTTCACACACGGTACCGCAGACGCCATCTCTTCCTACCACAAACTAAGCAATGAAAAGAACAAGTGCAAGATATATAGGGAATAAATTATGTTCTGGGTAAGTTATCCATGATGGCAACCTAAAAAAAAAAAAAAAGATGTTCTCCTGTGGTTTTCTTACTGCTCATATCAGGAACTTCCTTGATCTACAGATCAGTGGGTGACTTACAGACTTATTGCTGGAGACTTTCTTGTCCTATGAATGGTGTTGCATTGGATCTCTTTCATGCTGCTATTTCAGGCTGAGTCCTGTGAGAATGTAAATTTTAGCAATTCCCATTGGAGTTCCAAGATTGGATTTAGCATCTGCTTTGTGGTAGAGAAAACCCAACAATAGGAAGACAGGCTGGGGCTCTCTTCCCACATCTGGGGGCACTTCTGTATCTGGGAAGTCCCTTAGGATCATATTTTCTTACAAATATCATATCAAGTGAGCAAGCTAATCCTTATTTGATAGCTTTCTCATAGCTTGTTTCACTGCCCTGCTTTGTCTTTCAATCTTTTGTGTGGTGTTTTCTTCACTTCCCTCTTACTTGCCTTCATTTCTGATTTAATTTCATACACATGGTATGACTGATGACACTTAACCTGCTGCACTGTAGCTTTGTGATACCCCCATGCAGTTGGTTATTTCTACGTCTCAAACGAAAACAGACATCTAGGACAAAACTGAAACTTGTCTCGTGTTTCCTGCCCTTTTCCTGGACCTGCTTCTTTTGAGGTGTCTTTGGCTGGACTTCTCCCACTCAGCTCACTCTATGTATCTGCTTCACACATACACATCCTGCCTCCCTGGTTCCCATGAGGTTCATAGAGTTGGTGTGTGATGCAGCAAGTTTACCTGGGTGTTTTCTGATGCCTTACTGCAAAGCTGAAGAAGAATATGGAGAGAAAGAACAAGGCCCGCTGTGAGAATGGCTTCCTGCATAATCCATGTTTGCGTGAAAGAAAATGGGATTTTTCCCCCCCCCTCTTTGCCTTTGAACTACTTCTGGCCTGAATACATCTGAATACATCTACATGGATGAAGCGCTCTCATATACTAGGGAAATCTATATGCTTTCTTCTACCTTCTGATCATAAACAAAAAGAAAATCTTGTTTATTCTCAGCTACTTGAAACATCTCAACTTGTGGCCCTGCAAACAACAGGATTCCAACTAAAGACAAACGATTTGTTCTTTAAAAACACAGCTAGTAATAAACACAGTCTGCTAATCACGTCATTTGCAGTGGCATAAATCAGGAATGACTACTGAAACGTATTTGCACTGGGCTAAGTCTGTTCAGGTGGAACTCGTGGTTTCTCTTTTCGTGTTGGTGTTCTTAGGTATGGCAAAAGCAACAACCATTTCATGAGCCATGTATCAGTCAGGCCTTTTTTCAGTTTTTCATGAGGTGTCAACATTGTTGACAGTTGGAGATTAATACATTGCTTCACCATGGGTCTATTGTAAAATGTGAAAATAACTGTGCTACCCTTTCAACTACGACAATCAAGATCTGACTGGGAAAAAAGGACAAAAAAGGCTGGAGAAATCAATACTTCCAGGAAAATCTCAACAAGGATGTCACTAAATGAGTAAACAGTCTGTTAAGTGAGAACTTAATAAGAGTTTAAACACATGCTAAATTATAAGCAGTAGTATTTTTAGGATGTCAGGAAAACGTGTGAGAAGAGAAAACAGACAAAGCTATTGTGCTTTTTTTGTTCTGGGATGCTAGTCCAGAACTTTCATTTCATTTAATTCGGTGTAACTAAATGCATACTGTTTGGGTTTATTTTGTCAGGTGTATGTCTGTGTATCTGTCTACCTCCTCAAGTGCAAAGGGCAATTTCAGTAAAGGCGTTGGAGAAGGCCACCCTGCTTCCAGCAAGGCAGTAGGTCTGCTTCCCCTGCCCTGCAAGGAACAGTGCTGCTCACACCAACCCCACCTTGGCAGATGCTGACACCAGCTTCCCCTCTTTCTCACACTTAGAATCAAGTGGTCCCTATCATGAGGGCACCTGGTGGCATTACATGCAAGTAATGTCATAGTACTGTAAGGTTTTTACCTGCATAGGTTTGTCATACCAACGATTGGCCCCATTCTTATGGAAGCCTCCTCCATGTAGCAGTTGCAATGCCATGCTGGTATCATTGAGTTCCACGCTGCTTGGGCTGTCCAGGCACACCAGGCATATACACCGTTCAATCATGTCAAGAGAGTCGCGGTTAGTAGAGTCTGGGGGTAAAAGAGTGAAACGTTCACATCCTCTTACCTGTAGTGCAGGACTGGCTGGGGAACCCTGTTGCCTTGGAGAGCGCTGAAGATCTGACCCTGACTCTGTAATGAGCTGGTATCTGTATTGTTCTCTCAACAGCAGAACATATCAGTGCAAGGAAACGTTACACCAAGGCATTCATTTATGTGTTAACTTTTGCAGTATCTCTGTGTATCTTTCATATGATTCAATAATGTCCACTTTCTTTTTTTTGCCTTTCCTTTCCCAAAGTAATTGTATTACAAAATAGATCTGTTTTAGTCTTAATGCCAGCAATGCTTACTCAATTTGTATATAACAGAGAGGACAGGTGGAAAATAAGAGAATTTCAGAGCTCACACTATTGCTGCAGTATTCTGCTCTGGAACAGCTGGGCCTATACTTGTTTTGTGCTGTTCTTCCATTAAAAGCCTTTTGTGGACAAAGAACAGCAGGGCCCATGTTGGTTTTGTGTTCTTGTATTAAAATTCTCTTCTCTCTCCTATCCCATGTCATTTCTTGTACTTTAGAGAAATAAGCCCTGGACTGTGTATATTGCCTACATCACACAAGGAAACATCTGTGGATGAGGTTGTGAGGTTTCGATTCTGAGCATGGTATTGCCAAAACCCCAGGTTGCCATATTCCTCTTCCCTCCTATCACTAGAATACTGCTGAATAAAATGTGCTTTTTCTGTCTCTCTCTTTCTTTTCCCTATCCTGTCAATCTTGCTTCTACAGGTGGACTACAAAGGTTATTTTTACATTGTCTTCAGTGCTTTCCTCCTTATTTATGATATATTTATGCAGTTTCTTTAACTCAGAAATGTTATGAAGGTAACGGTTTGCTTGCTTCTGAGGGCTGGTTTGAGGCATACGAAATATTTAATCATGAGCACTTAATACAGGTTTTAATTGAAAGGATAAAGGTGTGGAACCTATAACAAGAACTTGGTTTAGTCAAAAGCATATAACATCATTACTTGCTGTTAAATGGTTAACAAGAGCAAAGGAAAAAGGTCCTCCAAACATCAACTTAAAACTCCTTCCATTCTTAACAGGTCAACTTTCATCTGCTGGTTTTGTTAGATTCTGGTGAAATTGCTTTTGTTTCAGAATATTCTTTACTAAAGGTGTGAATTCAGATAGATCAAAACTTCTTGCAAGTCTGTGCTAAGTTCAACAAATTTGTGCTCAATTTGGGAGATGATTTTAGCTGAAAGAATAGAAAAAATATTTAAAAAGAAACAATTCTGATTTGCATTTGAAACTTGGTGCCATTTAAAAATGTGCAGGTTTTTAATGTCTGTAAATATAAAAAGTAGCTTGACTCTCTGAAAGAACAGCATTTTTCAAAGTAAAAAAAAATGTACGTTCCCAAAATAAGTAACATAGGTTAGTGAGGAGCTAGAAAAAAACCCAACAGATGCTTGTTATCATCCAGGTTCATTCTCTAGATGCAGTGTAGCAAAAAAGAGCACAAACATGTGAGAAATAAAAAAAGGTTCCAAGAGAAGGAGAGGCAAGTGAGAGCAGTGGCTGAAGGAAGAGGGGGAGCTGTGGCCTCTTGCAGGTTATGGTGAAGCGCTGTCTATTGCTGTCTGATGCCAGCCTGACTTCTTGCAGGCTGTGTGGGGCCCTGGTAGAGCACAGTGTGTTGTCTTCCTTTGCCCACAGAAGCAGAGTCCTGGTGTTCCTGTCAGCTCCTGTGAAAACTTGGACCAGGAGATTGTAATTGATGGGGAATGCAGATAGCTTGAGCTTTCTGCTAGTGATCTGTGCTGTGCTGATGTCCCTATGAATTGTCTTCAAAAGCATTTAAAAGCTTTATAAGGGAGAACACATGTCCCTATCCTCTTGGCTGTAAAGCTCTTCTAGTATCTGACACTTACAGGGCTGACCGTAATTGTGTATTTATTCCACTGATGGTCTAGGTATGTCAACACAAAGACTGAAAACATCCTTGTGAATGGAAGTTGCCCTGTATACATCAGCTGCTGGTATTTTTGGATAGGCACCTTCAAGGAAAAACTGCTTGGATAGTGATTTACAAACTGCTCACAGCTTGCTCAGCATTCTGCTTTATGTTGTCTGATAGGTTTATATGTATTTTATTGCGGCTGCTGCCCACACGTCTTTGACAGATATGAAGCCCTTATTCTGACATATGGCTTCAGGTATCTTTAGTCTAGGTATTAGAGTGAATAAAATTAAGCTCTGCTAGAAACAGAAAAGCAGGGGAAAGATGCCCTACAGAAAGAAACAGATATGTCCAGAAAGCTGATCAGACACTGAAAAAATTATCATGTAAAGCAGGCAATGAACTGTGCAAGAACTCATGAACCATGACTTGGGATTGAAAGCAAATATTTCCAGAAAGAGCTGAAACAGAAAAAGCATGAGAACAAGTCTAAAGCCCTGCAAGACGTTTCTTGTCCTTCTGCCTTTCTAATGCACACAATTGCATTGAATTGGCAGGTCAGCTTTTAGCTAGTTGTGGTTTTGGGGTTTTGTTTTTAAAAGGAAAATGTAAGAGGACAGTTCTGAATGAAATTCAGCTATAGTATGCATGGGACAACAACCCCTATAGCAGTAAGAATTCATTTCCTGTACTGAGGGGAGTGAGTGAGTTCTGCAGCCTGAATGCAGTCAAAATACTACATGTGTTCATAAACCAGTGATGGCTGGGGTTTTACAATTTCTTCTTCTTCACCTAGAAGACCTATTCTCTACTTGCAGGTCTGGGCAGGCCTGTACATATATTTCTTTCATAACCTCTGCAAAGTGCTGTATAAGTCTTCTCTGTCCCAAAGCATCCTCTCTTTACCTTTCCTGTACAGAACAGTTATAGTGATCACTTCCATCTCATACTCTTCACTAGAGGCATTTCTCTTCCTCTGTTAGTTCTACGAACATTTCACCACAGATAAGAAAGAGAAAAGGGTTGTTAATAATCATGTATCATGTGTAACAACAACGCATTATACTGTATAAAGAATCTGTGCTAGCATGAATACTCTAGGATGGGATTCCTGCTTAGATTAGAGAAGGCTCGCATCACAGTGCTGTGATATTTGCTAGTTCAGAATCTGGGTTTTTTTTCGGTTGCATAACTGAGTTGGCTTCCTCATTGAAATTAATATTTTGGCAAACGCCAGGCAATCCAAAACCACTATAGAGATGGTTCTGCTAGTTTTTGTTACTTTGTCTTTTTTCTTCAGGGTGATGTAGGTTTACAAAGGTGATTTTCCAGAAGTTTTCAAGGTATTCACAGTTTTACTTAGAAGTGTGGCATGAATATAAATGACTAGAGTTTCTCTCACTTTTCATTAAAATAAGGGATTTTTTTCCCTACTATTTTAAAAGGAAAAGACGGGGAAGGGAAAGCCTGAAGATGAGACTGGTACCATGCACTAATGCTGTAAAAATGGCCAGGACTCTGTGTGTGTCTTTGTGTTTACCTATATAAAGTTGTTATAAGCACAGATAAACTTGAATAAGAAAATGAAAGATCTTCCTTGGGATGGTAAACATATTTTGAGACTATCGGCAACTCTTCTGTATTTCAGGGCATTGGTAAAGCAGCAATATTTTCTGTAGCATTGATGAACTGGGGCAAAGAGATGAGTTAACATATTTTTTTCAGGAGAGAAAAATGAATATGTAAGTCATCTGAAATGGCAAGAAGAGAGCATTTATATCACTTATCCTCAGGGTAAAATACATAAGGTGTGAAATGATACAGGTGACTAATCCCACTCTCAGTTTTCATCAGTTTCAAAGTCAGACATTCAAGTCCAGAATTCAAGACAGCTGAATGCTGCCTGTTGTTGGAAGAGAGAAAGAACTATCCCCAGAGAGTAACTGGCGTCACCTTTTCTTGATACTCACTTAAGATTTGGATTAATCAGCCCTGGTACTTTCTGGTTTTTTTCTATTGACTAGAGGGAGTATACAGCTAGATTCAATAGGTGTTAGCTTAAAGATGCCTTTGTTAGATGAGATGAAAAAGGTCCATGACTTGAAAAATAGTTGTCAAAAGCTAAGAGGATCCATCATTCCTATCGGTGCAAAATGGATGTGAAGAAAGAGACAAATCACAAAATCTGATGTAATTTATGTGATGAAAAACAGAATGGAATGAAAGCTATACACATGGCATAACATTTAAACATACACAGCCAAAGGGTCAAACCCTTTCTGCTGCTTCCCCAGCAACATGCATCCGAACACTTACAGGTATTGAACTTCCTTCTGCTAGAAAAATTCAGCAGGGAGGTTGCACATTCAGTCCTATATTTGCTGTAGTGTTCACTCCCAGCAAAGAAAGGCAATGATGGTGAGGAGGAAGAAGAGGAAGATGATGGAGAAAGCTGGAATTGCTGCTGCTAACCTTTCATAAGGATCGTCCTGGCCTCTGCCCACTCTGTCCTTCCGTCTGTTGTCAGCAGGCCAATTGGAGGCAGCATTTCCTCTTCATTCTCTGCCATTTTGGCTATCTTTTGTAACTGAGTGAAAAGATCTCCCTCACTGAGACGACGGAAATTAATGACAACATCCAAAACAAAAAACTGCAAAAAAATGACAGAAGTCAGAAGAACAGTCACAGATGGGTTGGACCCTTACTGGTCCAACATAGTGCTTTTGCCTGGGTAGGTGTTGAGATGCTCAAGTCCTGCCTGGAGAGCCAGGCCTGGAGGTAATGGAGCACAAAAACACTGGGGACTGGCCCAGGGCTCACCCCTCCTGTGTTTTTACACCACTGTGATGACGGGTTTTATAGGGGACTTACACTGTGTGTTAAGATCAAATAAAACATAACTTATTTGAATAAGCTTAAAAAAACCCTGAAGAGATAAAGTCAGGAAGAATGTAAATCATTTCCATGGTATTATTTGTTTAAAAACAACCCAGAGAACTTCCCATTGAGGTGAGGAACAGGACTTCCTGGAAAAAGGGGCACTGGAATCTACTCCATTCCAAGGAGAGCTGCAGGCATGGCTTCAGTACCACAAATGCCAAGCTAGGTGATAAGGTACTGTGCCTAACCAACATACTCTGCTGCTTGACAGCATCTATTAGTTGGGGCAGGTTCATTCTACTGTTCCAGTACTTCTGCCTGCATCTGTGCTAACTTCTTCTCAGGGGTAGCTTAGGCCCCCCTACGTGGGATGGTGGTACATATGCCATGTGCTGTGTGCCAATGCTTGACTGTCAAGAGAAGAGCATTTCCAGCAAATGCACTCCAGTAAGATTTATTTTTTTTCTCTGTGGTTTCATCTCTGTTAATAAACATGTTTTTTTGGATTAGAAAGCAAATGAATTCTGCCACATTCCTCCTTTCTGCATCACTGTACTTGGAACATAATGTTGGCTAAGGATAAAAATGCTGCAGAAGCATCTTTTGGAAATATTGACAGCAAACGCTTGGTAAGAAGTGAGCTCATACACAGCATGGTAATTGTGTTTCTAAACAGTGATTAGATTAGGCTCTTCTTGAGTGAATTTAAGCAAACTAAGAAATATATACTAAGAAAGATACAAAAAAAGAGAAAGAACGCTCATTTACCTGGTTGTTACAAGCAACAATGATGTGCTCTGGTTCTGGCATTACACTGCTTTTCTGGGCCACAAGGGTATCTTTGGTATGTCCTGGAAGACGATAGGAAGAAAAGAGTCCATAGTATTGCTTCATACAGAGAGGATGACCAGACAGCTGTCCACGAGCAAAATCAACAGGTAAAACGTGGCTGGAGAGAGAGAAGAAGAAAAACAAAGCCAGAGGAAAAGGGGGAGGAGGGAGGGGAGAGAGAGACAGAAAGGAAATCTAATCTGTCCTTTGTTCTGTTACAATTAGATCAGGTATAACACAAATTGAATAAAAAACCAAGATTACAGTATAAGGGAAATAGATGAATTCCCATACCAAAGTTAAATACATCTTTCCTGGCAGCTTCATGCATATTCATTAACCAATTGCATTAGCATCTAGTGGAAATTGAAAGGATAGCAGGTCACAAGCAGCTGTGCAGTGTGCATGGGAAGCCTGCCTAGATGGGACCCTGGAAACTTGCCAGGACAGAAGCCAGCAAAACAGCTGGAAAAGACACAGCACCTTGAAAAAAAAGTACTGGTGAAATTCACTGCAGATAATGGTGGTCCTGTACTGTACAGAGTGCTTAAGGAGTGTGTGAACAGGAATGACTGGGGCAATACAGAGGGCATTTCTGTTTTCCATAGAGCCTCACTTATGTGCTAACCCTTACCCAGACCTATGGGGGAATAAATGCTGAAAACCTGTTCCTTTTTTACTGGAAGGCATATGAAAAATCCACCTAAAAGGCTTCCTCAGTGGCCAGAAAGAGGAAAATAAAAAAGGAAAGAAAGTAGTTAGCACAATTATGATTAGGGATTGTAAAATATCCCACTGACACTGCAGCAGTAAATAATGATGATGTTGTCTGGGAGATGTTGCCAAGACTATAGGAGGAAGAAGATCTTGTGGTGCTGAGGTTTTGCCTCAGCAAAAGGAGACTGCGTTTCCAGCCTGACAGAGAGGGACAGGGGCAAAGAAGCACACAAGGAGAGTTACTGTCATACAGCTGATAGAGGGTAATGTTTTATGATAGTTTATCTTGTTTAACTGTCTCTTTAGAACTGTTGCAATTCTAAACCAGGGATATTCACTTTAGTTCTTGGCTTTCGAATTCTGTATCGCTTCTTTCCTTGTACAGGTGCTTTTTTGTTGTTGCTCCTTATTAGCAAAACAGGGTTATTGGTGTTCTCCTTCTCCCACATTTTGCATAATACAGAAATCCTCTTACATTTTAAGAGAGTTTTAAAGAGCATCTATAATGATCAAAAATAGTGGAATAGCATGGTAGATTTAGATAAGACAATCTGTAATCATAGCAGCTAAGAAAGGGGTTATTAACTGACTAATGGCACCAGAAAATTTAGTACTGATTTAGGAGATGTCTGTGTAAGATCTTACAGCTTTTTAATGTGAGCAATTTAGACTTTGTTTGAAATGCTTAGTCTTGGCAACTGCATGGAATATCTGTGCAGTTAAATCTAAAAGTTTTTGTTTAATGCCTGGGTTTGGACTGGAATATTGTACATCTGCATGTGGGATGATCCAAGAGAAGCTAGCAGTACACTCACTGGTAGAAGTCCTTAACAGCAACAAGGAACTGAAAACGTTACAGTTATGGTGTCCTCATAATTATACAGGAGGGGTGATAAGCAAACAGTACTAACAATATAAGAATACCGTAGTGAGGATTTAAATGATTATTGATTTAAGGCTGGCAAATCTGATCACAGAAGTCTTTGGATCTAAAGTAGCGAGGTCAAGATAGTAAGAATTTAAGTTATATTTTGTCTGAGCAATGTGCTTTCTTTATCTCATCTCATGCTGTCAGATAAAGATACGGTGAACTGCATTAGTATGCACTGGTACTCCACAGTGTGCTAGTACTGGTAAGTGCAGTTGCATGGCATAACTTGAACAAAAGCACATGTTCTTAAATAAGTACCTCTTCTATACTTTCTGAGTAGCTGTCAGACTTTTGAATTGAAAAATCAAACAGCCTTTTCTTCTTTCTTTTATCTAATTCATAGATAATAGGGACTTTGTTGTTTGAATGTGGACTTTGCTTTCCTCATCCAAATAAGCATTGGTTAAAGCATATCACATAGGTCTGTTGTATTTCCAGACAGAAAAATGACTTCTTCCCTAATATAGTGTGCCATCCACTGTGCTTGGCTCTCCACTGTGTCTGTTCTTTGGGGAGCAGCGGTTGTTAAGAGCTACCTCATACATGGCTTCAGGAATCACGGCTCTCCCCTGTTCTTGTATACAGAAAATAACAATGGCATAAGTAACTTCTTACTTCTACTAGCCACTGAGCCAGCCTAACTGTGGTGAGGCTTCCTGCTCCTGACAGGTCAGTGGTGCCAGGGGAGGTGTGCAGGCTGTTTAACCACAGTGCTGCTGCTCTTTGTGTGTGCAGAGCACAGACTTCTGGTGTGTCCTCAATAGCTCGGTTAGGCAGGTTGTATGTGTCCTTTGGGCTACACTGCGCATGCTGCACTGATGACTGCCAAGCATCAAAAATGATCCATCTCCAACCTATTAGATTGCAGTAATAAAGCAGAAAGAGACTAAAAAAATTGCCCTTAAGCATGCTGGAGCCCCAGCCCTTCCAAATGGTGGAGAGGTACAATGCAGCATGACTTTGAGCAGGTTAGAGCACGCTTGAATCAGAAGCCCTATGGATACTCAGCAGCAGCTCTCCTTCCAAGCTACTTACGTGTCCAGTAAAGCTTTATAGTCTTGCACTCCTGAAATGAGATTGGCGGCAAACCTGCAAGTAGCAAACAGAAATGACATTGGTCTTTTGTTATTTGGCAGCGCTGGGCTGTTCCTGAGAGACAGAGGAGAGCCTGAATGATTGATGACACAGCATGAGGAGAAAAAGTCTTCTGGCTTGGCAAGAGGAGCCCCCTGCCCCCACCCAAAACCTAATTAATTCACGTCAAGAGAAATATGAAAACCTAGAGCTGGTCCCTTCAAATGGTTAAACAGGCTACCACAGGAGGAAGCCTGAAAGCATTTATTTAGAGAATGGGAGCAGAGGCTGAATATTTAATAGAATCCTTAATATGAGTTTCAATATCAATACTCCTAAGCTGTCCAATTTATTAGAGTACTTCCTGTCCTAAGCAGATATTCTTTCTGCAGAGCTGTGGACGGGTGTATTATTTCCTGACACTGCCCATTTGCACTGTGTCTGAATGGGAGGCTCTGAGAAAAATATTTCCTTGTTAAAGCACGTGCTTTATAAAATGCAAAGTGGAGGTTTTTTGAAAGCTATGTGCACAATAAATTTAGTCAGTAATGAATGGGAGCATTTATAGTTATGTTTAAAGTAGAAAGATACACTGGCTGTCTATGCAAAATGTTAAAACAACACATTTGCTTCAAGGTTCTGACTGTTTTAGAATAGCAACTCACATGCAGTTAATTCCTTCAGTAATGAGCAGCTAGAGAGTGCTAAAAGCAAAGAGGAAAAGTGCACTATGTGAAGGTAGATTTGATCTGGTTTACTGTTTTAAAAGAAGAAAATGTTTTGGCAAAGGCTGAAGAATGGAATCCTCTTTTAAGGGAGAATACAGCTCTGGAGAGGTATATTCTGTGCTTGGCTACTTGCTTACCTTTTAGCTTTTTAAATGATTGTAATGGGCCACAACAGCTCAAAGAAGAACGGTCAGTTCAGGGCTGGAAAGGATGGGCGTGAAGGAAGCGGTGTTCTGGGGAGGAACGATTTCTGAATTCTTATTCTTATATCTCCTGTGTTTCTGGTGCCCTTTTGGGCACCTAAGAGGGACAATTTAATGCCAGTGTGGCCTTTCCAATTTGCAGGGTGGCTCTAAGTCATAGCGACAGCGTGCTAAAGATTGTTTTCCTTTAAACAGTGTGTCAGAAATTAGTATTTATTTTTTCCATCACAAAATGATTTCCTTGAATTACACAATGAAAAGCTTTGCAAATGTTCCTTTAACAAATTATAAATCCCATGGCATTTTTTTCATGTAATAAACGTAAAAGTAATGACACTTTCATTTCTGAATATCAGCATGAGTTACACCAGAAAGGGGTTACTGATACTACGCAGCAGACCTAGTAGGAAATCACTTTATGGTTACAGCCCTTATCTTTTAATGAAAGTTGATGGTCTTTTTGAAAAGAAGTACATTTAAAATAACCTTTCATTTAGCAAAAGCTGCAAAGTTGTAGTACATTTACCTCAGCTGGTCATTCACATCCTTGAAATGCTGATGAGCAAAGATAATTGCTGGGCTGGAATTGACCGGAAGAGCCAGCCGGTTGTTGAGGTACATGTCATCCAGCCAGTAGTTAAACACCTAAGGGAAGGGAACGTGAAATCGTAAAGCTATGAACAACGTGCAGAAAGGCAGTCTGGGGGCGGGGGGAGAGTGCTTGGTGCTCCTGGTGTCAAGCGTGGCCTCTGATTAATGGAGCTGCTGAGCGTTTTCAGTCTGGGCTCTGTGACCTTAGCTCAGCTGAAATCAGCCACAATTCCATAATCCTGTTTTTCAATCAATGGCAATTTACAGTGTGTTCCATTAAGAAGAAAACAGGCTCCATATTGTGGTGGTTTGGGTATTGTGTTGTTTGTTTCTCTCTACAACCAAAAAAAGAGTACAGCATGCTAACTGCTAACCCTTGAATAGTGACTGGGACATATTTAAGAAGTGGACAGAATTTTACCAGTGACGGCTTTCCTCAGGGGCCTTCAAATATTTGTCAATGATGCCAAGATGCATTGTTGTTAGCCATATACAGATGGCTATCAGATACCATCCTGTAGCAAGACAGAGTGGGAAAAGAATTTCCTGAGCCTAATGGTTTAGTCCTGCAGATACTGGGATGTGGATAGGGCCCCTGGAGAATTCTCTCTGTGTCCACTGACACAAAGGCAGATTGCTGATGCTCAACCCAGACAGACACACATACTAAATTTCTAACCATTTTTATTGAAAACACAGGCGTACGGTAACTGCATCCTTTTATGTCTGAGCAGAGCTTGAAGAATAATTATTTGGAAAATAGAAGCTTTCATAAAAAGATCAAGTGGTCTGTCTGAGTTTAGCTGGCACACTTTGCATAAGATAAACTATAAACAACAACGAAATTATGCAAAAATAATTATGAATGCATGCATCAGTTGAAAAAGTTTTCCTCTGAGATATTTCATTGCTGTTAGAACAGATGCTTCCCCCACAGTCTCTGGAGTCTTCAGAAGAACAGGCTAGAACTGCACTCCTGGCAAGTTAAATCCCAAATAAAAACATTTCTAGTTTATATTAAGAATCAGGTATTTAACCTTAATAACTGGCATTTAAAGTTGGGACATTTCAGAAAATGCTTATACATCCTTCCTCTGTAATTTTCATGGTATATGTGGTTAAATGAACAGCTGTCTCCTGGAACATTATTTGCTCTCCTGGAGCACTATGGAAGTGATGGTTAATTTAGCCATCAAAACCATGAAGTTCTATGATCAGAATAACAAAACGAGATTGGGTGGTATTTAGGGGAGAACCTTCAGACTGTGGCAATGAGCAGCTCAGAAATTAAGCACTGCTTTTAAAATAAAAGCACTGCCAGTACTGTAGCTGTTTTTTCTGACTATAGCAGCAATTTGATGGAGTTTTCTTGCGAGTCACACAACTGAAAAGGTAAGGGAGAACCACAATTACTGACATCAGTAGCAAGCCTGCAGGATTTCACTGAACCCCTGAAACCATTCAGTGTCTCTCTTCCTTGCTGGGATAGAAGAACTCCAGTAGAATCAGTATTTCTAGTTTTCAGCTGCCATATTCTAACAGTTAATGCAGGCAGGATGAACCATGGCTTTGTGGAATGGTAACACCTACTTTATCTATGGCTTATTTAATTTTCCTGTCTTGAGAAACAGAAAACCAGACTTTTTAAAAGGCTGGGGTGTCAGAATGGTCTATGTGTGTGTATACATGTATGTGTATATTCAGTGAAATAAATACTTCAGGATAACTACATTCATATGGTGTGACAATGAATGGCAAATAATAGTTTAATTTAAAAACAGTAGTTCCTATATTGGAGTATTCCATTACAGAATGATATGACTGGATCAGAGCTTTGAGTAGATGGCCACACAAGGCACTTTCTATAGCCCTATCAGAAAGCATTTTTAATTTTCATAAAAACTCTAAATCATTGCATTAAAGGGAAAGGAAGAAATTAGATCAAAAATGATGTAATACAGTGCTTCCGTCTGGTAAAGCTGACACCTGCGTGCATGCACGTTGCATAAATTCCTTCATTTATGTCAACAAACCATTGATCTGAAAACACAATAAAGACATGGACTTTGACATAATTTGAAAATTCTAGCCTAAGATGTCTGAAATATTAATTCCTTTTGGTAGAATCTGATATGACCCCTGTTAGCAGTGACCCATTGAAAGAAAGCAATGATCACATATAGAACATCATAAAGAGTTTGTAAATGTGCATCATCCAACACAGCAATTATTTTTCTCATCTGCATATGCGTACCCAGTTTGTTGTCTTTTCCCTTCTTTCCTCCAGCAATTGCTGCAAGGATTCTCCCAGGCCTCCTGCCTTTCCAAACTGCTCCACAATGACCTTGGTCTTTCCAAATTGCTCCTCTGGCACCAAGTGTTTCATGCACTGTAGGTACATGCGTAAAGTCTGCTGCAGTGGTGGGACTGGAAGTTTTGGCACTGTCTAATCATAAAAAAAAAAAAAAAAAAAAAAAAAGAAAGAAAGATATTCGCAAGTAATTCTGCTTGTTCCTAAATTGTCATCTTTTTTCTCCTTTTATTTTTTTTTAATTCTGTTGCTTATTAATTTATTGCATCCCCTTTTTAATCCATTTATTCTGTTTTAGCAGTTGAGATGCCTGATGAGCGCAAATGTAATTGTGTGACTCCAGTGGAGTTTCATTAGGTCTGAAAGTGCCTGGATTTTAGGACATACTATGTAGTTGTATGCAATTCTGAAGCAATGGCACCTCTCCAATAGCTCTATTTGAAGGCAATGAGAGTTTCAAATGGATAGTCCAGGAAACTAGTGAATAATAGGAGAATATTCCTCGGTACAAATTTTAGAAATCCTAAAGCAAACAAGCAAACAGGCATGATGCAAGCATATAGTCTGAGCTAGACTCTCAGAAGTCTTCAAATACATTACAACATAATAAAATAATGCACTAAGAGAAGGCATTTCATTATTAAAGCAGTGCATTTACCTTGTGATCAAATACTTGTCTGCTTCGTAATATGATTGGTTATACAATCGCAGAAACAGGAAACGTGTGGGTCTACCTGTTTATTAGCACTGACTACATACAATCCTCAATAAACCTGTGCTTTACTCTGCCAAACCGCTGCTGTTGGCCTGCCTGGAACCCTCCTAGAATGTTTGACAGAACATTTCTGTTTATCCTTGCTCTCTCCTTATCTTGTTTGGAGCAGGAAACCAGTGTGCTCTAAGCATGGTTCCTCAGGGAGGTGGACATGTCTCACGCTTGAGAAATGGTCATCTAATTCAGCTGTGCTTGTCCATTAGAGAGTAGTGTAGACCATAAACTTCTGGAGAGTTTATTTCTCTAATTTGATTTTTTTGCCTGCCTCCTAAAGCTGGTAAAGCTCAGATTTTTTTTTTTTTTTTACTAGCTTTTGGTTTAGTAGACATTCATTTCCATAGGATTGCAGGACCATAGCATGATTTTGGTTGGAAGAGATGTCTGGCAGTCACCTAATCCCACCTGCTGCTCAGATCAAGGCTAGCTGCAAACTCGTTTGGTAGTGCATGCAAAGAGGGAAGAGGTAAAGCAAGTACTCTCAAGAGAAGAGAAGGCAGGAAGTGGGTGTCCTCTGAGCTCAAATACCAGCTCTGCCTTTTGACATCCACAGGAAAGTCAGTGCTACATTAAGTTTCCCTATCTAGAAACCAAAAATTTCAGAGACTTACAGAAAGTGTAATAGGATTACCTGTTATTAAAGGAAATGCAAATCAGTTCAGCCTCTAGTGCACCCTGGATCTCAGAAATAAAAGAATGGTAATTCTACAGTTTCAAGCTATGCTTAGCCAGGGCATATCTCTTCTGTCATTGATTTCTTGGTCAGTGGAAATAGATGTGCAAAATAGTTGGGATTTTTTTGATACCTGGCTTTGGCCCTGTCTTTTGGGCAAAGTTACTGTACAGTTTGTGACTCTGCTTAGGAATAAAGCAGCCAACCCGAGGGGCTGGCTGCTCACAGGCGTACACATCCTGTGTCAATTAAAGCAGCTCAAAAACTAATCATATATGATAGTTTGATAGTTCTGTACTATTAAGAAATAATTACATGCCATCTCTGATTGTGTCTTAATGTATCTGCTGTTGTTGTGTAATAATATTTCACCTACTGGAATTCTTCACTGGCTGTTTGGAGGAAGAGTGTATTTGGATTTGAGAAGCAGTAACATTACATCAAAGTTCCTGACTATAAACTGCTGTGGGATAACTAGTGTTCCCTGAAATGCAGAAATCAGATCTGGAACAGAGCTTGGTTTAGAATTATTATATTAATTAACAGCATTAAAAGCTGTGAAGTTATTTATCTTCAACTTCTTTTTTGTCCACCCCCCCTTCTTGTTTTGTTTTTCCAGAAACAGTTACTTACTGTCTCATCTTTACTGCATGTATCTTTCTCTTTCTTCTGCATGTTTTTGTCTAGGACAGGCATCCCTGCATTTCTTTTGATATCTTTTGTTGAGGACAGAAGTTGAAGCCACTTGGGGGCACTTATGGAGCCTCACGCCTCAGTTCTGTAAATAGAAAAGATTTAAAGTCCAGTCAGTACCCATTATTTATAACCAAAATGTACAGGAGAATATTCCCTGCACAAGCATACACAGAACAAAACTGAAGAGAAATAGAAGTATAACATTCAAAAGTAGCTGAACTGAGCACTGTGGAGATTGATCTGACATTGTTTGTTTCATTTAGCTATAAATTTATTTATCCAGAACTATGTGATGCACATAAATGGTCCCTTCTCAGCATGGTGTATTTTCTCACTCTAATTTACTTCATGATGCATTGTGCTGTGATCTGCACCCTTTGTATGACTGTAGTACATTAGCTGGAGGAAGAAGGTGACTTTTCCCTGAATGTACTTATGTCAACACAGATAATAGTAAGGTTGCCGTTTTCTAAGGATTTTATATGTCCTCCCTTTATTATTTTATATGAAAGCACCATGAAAGTCCTTAGATGTATTTGTCATTGCATGGTTCCATGGGCACAGTGAGTTGCTATCATCTCTGTGTTGAAGATGTGGAAGCTGTGTGAAGGAGCTTGATGAAGACATGCCTTTGCCCTGCAGACTAGAAGCTCGTGGGGTGCCAGTTCTTTGGGGCACAGCTCTGGGCTGGGAGGCCCTGTGGGCCTGCTTTGTCTGGCAGGCTGGCTGCAGGAGGACCAGGAGGGGTAGCATGCCCTGCATTTGAGCCACTTCACACAGCAGTCTTTCCACATAGCATATAAAACAGATAGCTTAATCTGCCAAAATTCACAGAAATCATCTGTGACAGAGCAAATACTTCCACGTGTGCCTCTCTGGTATTGTGCTTATCCTGGTTTTCACTTCTAAAGATGCTTATTATGCCTTTTCTGTACAAGAATAAGCTATATGACACACATATTTCTTTCGATACAATAGGGCCCACACCAAGTGGTTGTCCTTCAGTTACAGCGGTAAAGCTGAAGCAGAGTAAGTTCTTTGTGTTCAGTCAGGTCTTGACAGATCACAGGTTTTGGGTTGGGTTTTTTTTGTTTTTTTGATTTCTTTTTAAGTAGTTTGTACTTGTATGTGCAAAATAAAAAAGACACGTTGACTAGGTTGAAAATTTCTTTTAAAAAACCCACATTTAATACATATGAATTATTTCTGTAAGAGCTTTTAAGTACAATTTGGATAAAAACTTACAGTGTATGTCTTGTTTAGTGATGGATAGGGAAGGCTGTGCATTATTCCTCTCCTGAGGAATCAGCTGTCTAACACTGTGGCTTCAGCGTGGCTCTGCCAATGTGTATGTGGTCACTGACACCTTGTGTTGGTCCTGTCCTCTCCCTGTCCTGCACTGGCTGCCAGTGGGGCCGTGTGCTGTGAAGTAGGTTGTGTACGGCTGTATAAGGTCCCTGGGGCTCTGCAATGAGCCACACGGCAAACTCGTGTTGATCTGTCATCTGCTCATGATTTCAACCCAGGTGAGAGACAATTTCCCTTATGGAGGGGCCACATCAACCCACTACACTGCTCTGCTCCCTCTCGTGCTGCGCAGGTCTCGCCACTTAGCTGTGTGCTCTATTCCAAGCAACATAGGTTCAAAGCACTTCAAATGATGGGCATGTCCTATAACTCATGGAAGACTGTGGCTTGCCCAGTTTACGGGTTGGCCTCAGCTCCCCACCTGCGCTCAAACACATCTCAAAGAGCAGCTGTTTTGTCTTCAGAGCCCCTAAAACTGTATTCCCCTGAAGGAAAAATCCTGCTGGTGTTCTTCTCACTGGGACTTCTGTTCTGTCTTTCCTTATGTTTTTGTTTTGTCAAACTGCAATATGGAGTCACACTGACCACAAGCCCATGCCGACTCTGTGTCTGTGGAAAATGCTGCTAGTAACAGGCTCGTATATCTGTAAAATCAGTGTGATAAAGAGTAGCCTGAACTGTACCTTTCTCTGTCATGCAGATGAACTGAGGCTTTGTTTCTGGTTCAAGTGCTGACAGCTTAGCATCATGCCCAATCCTATATCTGCTTTAAAGGACAAGGAAACTGACACAAGAGAAAATCCTGCAGAAATTCAAAATGACTTCAAAGTTGCTCACTGGAATGGCTATGAAGAGTATTGTCAAAGTTATTAGGAAAAAAAAAAATAATCCTAGCTGTTTTTATTTACAGCTGGCTTAGTCAGGGGAGCTGGGTGGCCTTCCCACAGCTCAGAGCAGCAGCTCAAACCCACAACAAAAGGCACTGATCTCCCTGTAAGTAGATAGCAGAGAGGGACTGAAATAAGCCCATGTGCTTATACTTGAGTTCTCCACACAGTGTGGACTCAGGAGGCAGCTTGAGGGATATAAGGTTGTTGGGGCATTACACTCAGCCCTCATCTATTCATCCTCGCTCTCAGTGTTACCAGGAAGATAAGCTTAAAGTTCTCAGGAATCGATGCTTAAAGCTGGGGCATGTACGCGTTATCAGGAACACGCGCGTGAAGTGCGCACTGCTGCGGCCGTTGACATGACGAATGGAGCGCGGAGCCGCCCTGTCGCCTGGCCTGAGCTTCCCCGCGGGCCGTTCACCACCGGCACCCGTCGGGGAGCGCTCAAGCTCCGCCAGAGCTGCCGGCGCGCCCCG